CTGGGATTCTGTCTTTATTAGTCACAAGTTATATGACTGTGGGCAAGTCACGTCTGAGGGCCTGAGTTTCCTCATTGGCAAAATGGTGAGAAACACACTTTGGGTTGTTATGAGGATTAAGTTACTCTAATTATAAAGTGTCCAGGACAGGGTTAGGCACTACAGAAGCACTAGATGGGTGTTTGTTAAATAAAGGTCTGAAGTCTGGAGTGAGGATAACAAGGATCACACCACACTGCTGAGTGACTCTTCACTTCCAAAGCCTTGTGCACTCATTGTCCCAGCTCATCCCATCACAACTACTGCCTGTAACAGTTGACAATCAAATATTTGTTGATTGTCCAAATAAATGAAGTGTGTAAGGTAAGCAAGAATACATAAAATTTTAAAAAGTAATAACTCAGGATGGGGAAATCATACAGACTCAAATCCTGGTTTCACTACTAAGAGGCTGTGTGACAATTAACAAATGAGCCTATCACCTTATCTATAAAATGGGATGAATGACAGTACCTGGCTCATTATTGCTGCAGGAGTTAAAAGGAGTGATATGTAAAACTAGAGGCCCAGTGCACAAAATTCATTCATGGATAGGATCCTTAGGCCTGGCCGTGATCAGGGCTGATCAGGGCCTTCTGGCTGCTGGCTGGGGCCTCCTTTCCCCAGCTGCCTGCTGCTGGCCGGGGCCTTCCTTTGTTCCACGCTGCTCTCTGGTGGTCAGTGCACGTGGTGGTCAGGACCAATAGAACTCCAGGTCTCCCGGTCAAACTCCAGGGACACGTTGTATATTAGCCTTTTATAGATGCCCAATAGATGCTAGTGTCAATATCCTCCTCCCCTGCTGCAACTAGGAGAATAGGTCCAGAGAGGGGAAGTTGGTGGAGGAGACCCAAGCTTTTGCATTGCCTGCTCAGTTTGCAGTTGCAGTGTGAGTCCTTCTGGGCCATTTCTGTGCAATGCAGAGAAGACAGTGTCAAGGTGAACTCTGGCTCAGTTGCATCTAGCAAGTGAGACCTCTCTAAGTCTCAGTTTTCTCAGCTGTACTAGAGGACCATAATCTTCACCTCTCTGGGAGGCTGTGAGGATAAATGAAAGTAAACATGTAAACCACTAAGTTCAGCAGGTGTTCTTCAGCAAATGGCCAAGTTGTTACCATCGTCTCTGACTTGGAACTCTAGCTCTGGATGCTTTCTAGGGGAGACTGCTTCTGTCCTTCACCACATCTATTCCAAGTCCTAAGAAGGTGGATAGGTGACTTGAAGGGGAAGGCAGTAGGGATGTGAGCAGGGAGCTAGGGCTGCTGTCAGGGACAAAGGGACCATGTATGGCCTCTTGAGTGCAGGGCACTGGATGGAGAATGAGTATCCCAGAAATACCTGGGTGTGCAGGCAGAGGAAACCTCTAGGCCTAGCTGATGCAGAGTTCCCACGGGGATGCAGAGGCTTGAGAAGGGGCGGAGGAGGAGGTTAAAGGTACCTCAAGGGCCGGGACCGGTTTGGCTCAGTGGATAGAGCGTCGGCCTGCGGACTGAAAGATCCCGGGTTCGATTCTGGTCAAGGGCATGTACCTTGGTTGTGGGCACATCCCCAGTAGGGGTGTGCAAAAGGCAGCTGGTCGATGTTTCTCTCTCATTGACGTTTCTAACTCTCTGTCCCTCTCAATTCCTCTCTGTGTAAAATCAATAAAAATATATATTTAAAAAATAAAAAAAAATAAAGGTACCTCAAGGTTCTGGAGCCACAGGCTAAGGCATTAGATTCTGTCCTAAAGGCTTTGGGAGCTATAACCTTCTTGAGCAGGAGAGTAACATGGTCAGCAATGCAACGGTTTCTCTGCCCCATGTGCCAGATGGACTGGTAAGGGAGAGGCAGGGGTCAGGGGATTAGGGAGGAGGAAATCATAGCTCTCTCTTAACCTCTGATTGGCTGTGTGAGGGAAGGGCTAGAGAACCTCTGCCAGGGTAGGCTGGTGAAGCTATGAGAGATGTCCTGTGAGGATGGCCCATGCCACCTGCTCCATGTTACTTTCATAGGGTTGCCAGGGGTGTGAGGAGGAGGACCTAGGAAAAAATCTGTGGTATTCTGGGGTCAGCACTAAGACCACCAGCTCAGAGAAGATGAGGCTGTGGAGAGGCAGGAACAGGGCAAGGAAGCCCAGGAGGGGAGGCCTAGCTGTGGGAGAGGGACAGACACAGCAAAGGAGATGCAGTCGGGCCAAGGAAGCAGGTGGCCACCCTCCAGACCTCTCATGGATTTGTGGACAGCCAGGGAAAGTATGTTACCCTCTCTGAGCCTCTGTTTCCTGGTCTTCTCTCCAGTTACACATTTCAGAGTCAGATATTCTTGGATACCCCTGCCCAGGGTGAGAGGGAGAGAATCGAGGCACTCCAGGAAGAAACTGGGCTCTGGACAGGCACTTGGAAACCACCCAGATAGAGGGAGGAGGGTGGTGTGCACATGTGTTTAGTGTTGTGAGGACACATCCACACCCACACACTCAGGCTGCCAGTGCTGGGCCTCAGCCCCCTGGCTGTGTGGCCAGGAGGAATGAGGTCAGCTTTAGAGAATCTGCCCTGGACTCCCACACCAAGCCTGGGGGTCTGAGTTAAAGAACAAGACTTGGCCTTCCCTGAACCAGGATTTTCCATGGTCCTGGCCTAGCAGAATAAGGAAGGGGACCAATAATAGGAGAGAAGGTAGTGTTCCCTTTCTGAGCCTCAAACTTACCTGCACTCCACACAGTCCCACCCCACACACCACCCCTTCATGACCAGGGGAGGGTGCTGATGGCCATCCTTTGCAGCAATGCTTGGACACCTCCTTTCTGGGAAGTCCCCCTTGAGTCCCCAAGCCCTGATTTTGGAGACTCCTCCTCTGACCTCATATAGTCCATCCCCCAATGCTTGCCCAATCACAGTACTGAGATGCCCTCATTTCTGTGCTTCCCAGTGCAGGGCCTAAATTTGGGGCACACCAGCACACTCTACCTGGCCTCTAGCACACTACCTTCAGGGGAAAAATGTCTTTAATCCAAATGAACTGTGGAGCTCAGGAGCAATGGCCGGAGGCCCTGCTAAGCAGCAAGTACCTCCACTCCAGACATGGCCTTGCCCTGGCAGGTCCCCTTCTGAACCTTAAAAACTGACAGGCCAAAAAGAGGGCCTAGAATATCCGGTGCCTTGGAGCACATATGTCCAGCTCCAGGTCTGACTCTGCCAGCAGTGCTGTGGAACTTGAGGCTTTGGTTTTCTCCTCCGCCCAGAGGTGGGATGCCTTTGGCTGAGTACCACTGAGTTCCATCCTAAGAAAAGCCACCATAAAAACTTAGCACCTTTAGGCCAAATGTCCTCCCCTTTGAGGAGCTATAGGAGCAGCTGATGTGCAGGGGCTGCAAGTCCCAGCGAGGAACACCCTTCATCACATCGCAGAGGGCCCTCCATTTTGGTCCTTTTTAAGCTCCTGCAGATTCTCAAACTGGGAATCAGCACCCAACTCGAGTGCTATGCCTTGGATGTGAGGGAGTGGTGCTACCTGTGGGGACACTCCTCTTAACTACAGCCTTGGGTTCCAGCAGCCCCTAGGGAGACAGGAGCACCGCTCTTACCTGAACCCCTGCCTCAGCAGCAGCCTCTCACCCAAGGTCAGTATGGCTGAAGACGAGGCAGCAGTCCCTGTGCTGACAGAGGCAGCAGAGAAAAGGCTGAGGGTGCAGCACCTGAGCCCCTGGGCCTGAAGGCCTCAGCCCTCCCCTGGTGGGCTGATTTTCTGTGGAGCAGAGAGAGAATCAGGGCACTGACTGCAGCTTGAAAAAGGCATGGCAGGAGTGGAGCATACATGCATTGGAGACTGAATGGAAAACTTTGACCAAGGTGGGTTTTGAACTAGCAGAAACAGAAGGAAGAAGTGGATTCTAAGACAGAGGGTGGGCCAATAGCTGGCCAGCTCTGGCCAGACCACTAGCGGGCCCTTGGGAGTTGCCCATCTGAAGAAGGAAGGCTGTCTGTCCCCTGCACTGTGTCTTTGTGTACAAATGGCTTGGGCTTTTCAGGTCGTAACGTCACCCCTCCATCCCAAAAAAAGCCAGAGGGAGGCCCATCCACGGTGGCCTTCTAAGACTTTCTCAGGGCCAGTACTAGGATGAGCTAGTTGAATGAATGAGGCACTGGCCTGGGGTACAAACTTTAAGAGGGCGCCAAAATACTCAGTAACCAAGATAAGCAATATTTGATACAATATTTAAAAAAAATCAAAATCAATGCAAAAAATCTGTGATGAACAAAACACAAAAATTTCAAATAAAGATATCATCAAAATTGCTGATTTTTCAGTCTGCCTTGGGCTCCAATTTGGCTTGGCATGGCACCATTACTGATTCTATTTAAAACCTCATCACAGAATTTTTTTGCATTATTTTGATCTACAAAATACATTAAATATTACTTATCTCAATTACTGAGTGTTTGTCAGCCTATTCAATTTTGCACCTCTCTCATCTAATCTGGATTCCTGCCTGGGGCAAGAGCTTCCCCTCTAGCCTCCGGTTCACTGGGGCCAACCTCACATAACCCGGTGACTGTGAACTTGCCACACCTCCAGAGGCATCCCTAAAGGCCTTTCTGACACTCTTGTTCCCTCCTTCACCCTGTGAGGCTGGCATAGGGGCAGCTGATTGGAGTGATTTAGAAGTAGGGAGAAGGGCTCCTTCCCTTTGTCCCCAAATGACTCAAGCTAGGTTTGGGAGGAGCCTCATCTCAACGCTTGACCAGTTCCTCCGAACCCCCCTCGCCCCCTCGCCCTTCAAGCCAGGGTCAGAGCCCAGGCCTGACCAAATGCTGGCACTGATGACATATGGACGCTGGGAGGTGTATGCACTGGGGCTGTGGATTGGGGCTTGGGGGGGTCTTTACTTAGCTCTGGGAGGGCCTTTGGTAAAAAGGACCGGGGAGGGTCATCAGGGAACAGGAGTACGAAGCACAGGGCTGGGACTGGGGCCATACTCACCGCGGCCGTTCTGGGTGCGCCGGTACACGCTGCCCACGCTGAGGCGACCCTGCTGCGAGCCGCTGCGCTCCGCCACCGGCGGGGGCGCGTCCGAGCTGCGCACGGGCAGGTAGGGCGGCTCCGGCATGCGGAACGGGGGCTGCGGCTCCACCGCCCTCGGGGGCACGTAGGCCTCGGGAGGCAGGTTGGCATAGGGCGGGTACCAGCCGAGGGCGGGGTCGCCGCCGTAGGCGCCGCCGGCGGCCTGCGCTGCGTCGGGGCCCGGGCCGGGGAGGGCCTGCTCGGAGCCCGCGGCGCCCTCGTGGTAGAGGCTGTGCGAGTAGCGGCGGTCTAGGCCGTCGGCGGGCGGCGGCGCGTAGGGCCTCTCCGGGGCCGGGTAGAAGCCCTGCGGCGAGTACTCGGGCTGATCCTCGCCCCCTCCGCCGAACTCCTCGTAGCGCGGCCGCGGCTGGAACGGATAGACCACTCCCGCCGAGGCCACGGCCGCCGCCCCGGCGCCGCCGCCGCCCGCCCCGCGGTAGTACACGTAGCCCTGCTCGTAGGTCCGCGCCGCCGGGTCGTAGGTCTCGTACTGGCTGACGAAGGGCGCCTGCGGGTAGGGGAACTGCTGCGGGATGGAGGGCGGCTGGCGGTACGTGCTGGCGAAGGCAGAGGCCGAGACCGAGGAGGCGGAGCCCCCGTGCTGGGAGACCGAGGTGCGAGCCCGGGCCATACCCGTGCTGTCCCCGACGGCCACCTCGCGCCAGTTATCCGGCACCTGGCCGAAGCCGAAAGGGTGCCGCGCCTGGCCGCGCACGGTGTCCGAGCCCACGCGCCCGGGCAGGGGCAGAGACGGGGCCTGCCGCCGCCGGGGACCTCCTTGGCTGCGCCGCAGCTGGGTCTGGGGGGCGCCCGCCAGCAGCACCCGGGAGCTACCCTCGGCGCGCGGTGCTCCGGCGGGGACGTACTCGGAGCCCGAGTTGAGCAGGCTGTACACCTGCCCGTTGTTCTCCCACTGGATCAGCTGCCGCCAGCGCCCCAAGTCCGGGCCCTGCCCTGGCTGGGCCTGTTGCCCGTGTACCAGGATGCAGAGGCAGGCGCCCCACACCAGGGTTCCCACCTGCAAACCGGCTGGGGCCAAAGCCATGGTGGCCCCTCTGAAGAGGCCTGGTGGACCGAGAGGCTCTCAGGAGTGGCCCCCTGTGCGTGCTTCTCTCCCCACGGCCTCGAGGACAGGATGGCTCCTTGCCTGCCGCAGCTCTAGCTTTGTCCATCCTGGCCTTGGTCCGAGCGGGACGGCTCCTCCGATGACAGCATTTCGAGGCCAAGGGGTCAGGGCAGGGCAGGGGCGGTGCCCAAGGCTGCAGGAGGCTCTCTGCAGGGCACCGGGCAGGACCGCCTGGGGGCCTTACGTGGGCAGCCCTGCACTGGCTGGCTTTGGGGCTGGCGCTTTCCCACTCTGAATGAATAAGCAACAGGCTGGAAGTGTTAGGAGGTTTTAGGCAGCCTGGTCTGCCTGCTGGGGTCTCCTCCGCAGGGCCCTATGGCCCGCCGGCTTTTAGCTATGTGAACCGTCCCACAGCTGCTGTGCTCCCTCAGTCCCTGGAGCTCCCAGCCAAGCCACAGACCTGCCTCTGAGGAAGGGAATGAAGCCTGGAGTAGGAGGGGGCCTCTGGGGACTCAGGCCTAGCAAGTGGGGCCCAGGTAGGCAGATCAGGGCTGAAGGGCCAGCAGCACTCTGGCCATTTCTTTCTGCTTTGGACCCAGACTCCCTCCTCTCCAACTTACTGCTTCTTGTGTGGGCTTGAAAGAGTCCCTGACTTCCATTAACTCCAGCCACTCACTAGGATTCCTAGGCTCCCATTCCCTTCCCCAAAGCTAAGAGACACCCTCCTTGTTGATGGGCCTTCTTGGAGAGATGCTGAACCCTAGCCAAAGCGTTCTGAATACAAAGGAGTTGGAGCTCAGCTTTTTCTTTCTTACCCTCTTGGTCTATAGAATGGGCTTATACCCCTGTTTTGAATAGAACCTGTGAAATTATAAGAGACATTGACTTCCTACACATATATGGTTTCTATTTTGTATCTCTTGAGTCAACATAGCCTAGATATATCCTGAGAGGATAAAATGAAACCCAGGGCTGTCTGCTGTGGGACAGGGGACATTTGGCATATTGTGTGCTATAACATAGAATGGCATAACGGGAGATTCAGGAGAATGGGCCTGTTTGAACACTTTGGTGTCTAAGAAAGCAATTTCTAAATGTCTCCCCTGGACTGCCTTCTGCCTTCCAATCTTGCTCCTGGGAACTGGAGAGCAGAAATCCCCCTCTGGTGCTTATAAAACAGCTAGGAAGACCCTGCCTTTAACACTGCAGATTGACCTTCTACTTTGGGAACTCCTGGAGTCCATCTTGGGAGGAGACAGCCAGAATGGACATTCCTCAGGGATCCTGAATCCTTGCTCCCCTGCCAGCATTTGTTCACCCATCACATTGTGCTATAGGACGGGCTGGTTCAGGTGATTCGGAGTTTCCCTCTACCATTTAAATGCTCATAACCTAGCCAGCAGCCATTCAATACTGGTCCCTTAGCTATGCAGTGTGAGTTTGGTTTCAGACTCCTGACAGGACTCCTACAAGAAGCAACTGGTTTGGCTCACCAAGCCAGATGCAAAACCAGCTTACAGAGGATCACTGGGACTTGGAGGGTTAAGCCTACCCTCCCTCCTGCCTGCCCCCTGCAGTGCTGGCCTCAGCTGCTTGGAATCCCTGGGGTCCTATAAGGCCCTCCTGCCAGCCAGATGGGCAGCTGCGCCAGGAGAGGAGGAGGAGGTGAAGTGGAAACAGGCCTCAAAGTACCCCCAGGCAGGAGGGGAAGGGAAGAGGAGGAATGGAAGGAATACAGACATAGGGAAGCCTCACTGGCCTAGAGTCGAGAAGGCAGAACTCAAGCCAGGCAGGAGGCAGGGGCTGCCTCAGGGCTTTCCAGCAGTGGAGATCAGGGCATGGACGTTGTGCTCAGCAGGCTTCTAACTCTGAGCCAGCTCTTGGCACGAAACCCTACCCTATGCTGGCTCCTGCTCTTCTTTCTTTTTTTCTTAATAAGGTCGAATCAGAGTGAGTCAGAGAAGCCAAGTTTCCTGTTAGGCTCTGTTTGAATAAACTGCTCTGAACACAGCTTGGGCCTCTGTACAATCTCCCAAGGCCAGAGCTGCAGCCTTGCCAGCCCCTTGCTGAGACTGGAGACTTGGGGTCCCCAGGATTACGGTGCTAGGGTCTTGGCCTAGCCAGGCCTCTGTCCTGGGAAACCAATTAAGCTGTCAGATGCTTCATTTATAGTCTGGAGGTAATACCTTTCTTGTGGTATATTGGGAAAATAAATGAGAAGATTATGAAAAGTACCCAGCATAGTACCAGCCATGTGGCCACTATTTTCTTTCTTTTCTCTGGACTGTGAGAGAAGGAAGGGGCTCATCTCTCAAGGGACCATTTTCCCTGTCTCTTTCCTGTTTTTACCTATTTTCAGCATCCTTCCTTGCCCAGTATGAACCTTGTGCAAGGCAGACATACCTTGGGACTGTCCTCATCCTTCTTCTGCATTCCCTCGCTCTGACTTCCTTCTTCCTTCAGTTGGGTTTCCCCAGGGCTCTGTGGCTGACAGGGCCCAGCATCTCTGTGAGCCCAGGGGAGCCTTTGTGATTCTACCTCTCCACAAAGGGCAACACCTTATCTCAGTGGCTGGAGGTGTTCCAGCATCAATCTGATTGAGGCCTGCACAATGGGGAACTGAGAAAGACCTGGAAAGGCTGTAGAAGGTAAAGGGCTTGGGTTAAATGAGGGCTTTGAGTCCCCCGGTTGGGCTGATCCTGAGCTGTCTGGAGGTGAAGCAGGCAGGCAGCTCCTCTGGAGGCCTGCCTGTTCAGGCCAGGATTCACACGCACATTTTTAAAACCCAGGCATGTGGTTAAGGCTTGCTGCCAGTCCCTGGCACTAGAAACTGGTCTCAAGGGGCGTTGAAGAGACAGTGATACAGGGCTGAAAAAGCTTGTTGACTATGCATGGCTTTTAAGCACCTACTGTGTGCTCAGCTCTAGACTGGGCTATCTGTTGTCGGGGCTCCCTTGGAGTGGTCAGTATCTCTTGCCCTTGTGATGGAAAATTTCCCAGTCTCTGAAAAATCTGTGGGGGAACAAGACAGCAGAGAGTTTGAGGATCAGAGAAGGGATGGGAGCCATGACGTGCCTCACTACTTTGCAGAGGAAAACCAGGAGACCCACTGTGGTTCAGAATGTTTCTGTGGTTGGGAAGGAGTAAGGCAGACTCTGGTGCTCCTGCCCTGTTTCTCACATTGGGCAGAGCTGGGTATCCTCCTCCTCCCATGATCACTAACTGCTGAGCCCAGGCCCTGGCACCTGGGTGGGCAGCTCAGGAAGAGCCATGAATACTTTTTATACTGAATTGGGAGTGAAAGCTCCAGCCACTCTGGAAAGTGGACTGGAGGAAGTGCTGAGTGAGGTCTGGCAGCTGGCACATAATTTGCTGACTGGGCAGGGAGAGGACCACTGAGTGACCACTGCCAGCTGGGCCCTGAGCCCACCCTTCCCTTGCAGCCACATCTAGTGCAATGATGGGGGAGGTGGAAGGGGGGAGGGGGCTTCAGTCCCCAGAGCCCAGGCATAGAAGGAGCTGGGGACCTTTGGTTTGGAAGCATCTTTCTCTAGTGTTGGGACTTCAGAGAAGCCAGGAAGTGGGGGAGGTGAGATCAGAGACAGATGGGGTGAGAGGGAAAGGGAAGGAACCCATCCTTCTCTAGGACTCATGGGAATTTGGTGGCTCTGGCCATCTCCCACTCAGTTTTTCTTTCTGGCAAGGGCCTCTCTGGGCCCCTCCCCCACGGTTCTTGGGGAAATGGAAATACTGGTCCTAATAAGAACAATCTTGGCATCGAGGCAAGGCTCTGTGGAGTCAGGAAGTGCCTCCTCAGCCCCCAGCCTAGCTAGCTTTCCCCTTTCTGACTTTCTCCTCCTCTCAACAGGCAGCCAGGGCTTAGGGGCCTGCTTAATGATACATTCCTTGTTCCCATCCCCACCCTCTCCAGCCCTTGGGAGCTGGTAGATGCCCCTTATGTCAAAGTTGTGGGGTGGAGCTCAGCCACTATGCAGTAGAGAGAAGGAGGTTAATAGATTCCCCTGCCCAAAGGAGTGTGCTGGTAAGACAATGAGGATGCTCAGTCCCTTAGGCTACAGTTAGACTAATAATGGAGAACTAGCAGGGAAACTGAGGTAAAAACCCTCTGATCCTAAGGGAAGGCTCTTCTCTTCATTCTCTCTCCATCCTCTCTCTGCTTTTGTTTTTGTTTTCAGTACATCCATCCATCCATCCATTCATCCATCCATTATTTTTTTCTGTCTGTCTCACTCTGCTTCTGGGTCTCACAGTCTCAGTTCTTCCACATCTCTCTTATTCCATCTGCTGATGTTTCTTCCAATTATCCTTTTACTTATCCACTCACTTCCTCTGACATCATGTTCCCTGGGCACCTGGCTGGCTACTGGGGTTACAGAGAGAAGCAAACCTGTCTGATCCCCAAAGAGTTTGTAGGCTAGTGAGATTGATACAAATGAACAGAAGGAACAGCATGAGGAGTCCTGAGTGGAGGCGAAGACATTGTGCTGCCTCTTCATGACCTCTGAGAGACATTTCTATCTTCCTCAGTCTTTGCCCATTCCTCTGTCTCTGTCTGTGACTTTCCTGGTGTCACCTTTGTGAGGTGGCTTGCTCTCTGCTCTCTGTGGGACACATGCAATTTGCTTCTTTCCCTGTGGTGAGGGAGGCAGGTGGTTTGGGCAAGGGTAGAGGTAGGTGATAGGAGGAGTGTGGCCTTCAGGGCCAGTGCTGACAGATGTGTTCTCACGGTCATGTCTGACACTGACATAGTTCTGGGTGAGATAAGATGAGGGTCATGGGTATGGATTAGCTCCTATTATATGCCATAGAGCAAACAAAGTAAGTTTCTTTCCTGTACTTTAGTATAAATGACCCCACCTCCAGGAATCAGTTTTGCTCACCTAGGGGCTAGAAGAGGAAGGGACCACAGCTTTAAATAGCTTTTCAATTCACATTAAAAATGAAATACATCAATGATA